GTTGCGATCTGGTAAATACCGGTGGTCGTCAAGGCGGCGCTATCAATGCAGCTCTGTTCTTGAAACAAGTACGTGAATTTTACCACCTGTATATTTGTTTTCACACCCAGATATTGCATTCTCCTCGGTCGAACCATGTTGCTGAATTTCATCGTTGTTGGAACTATGGTGTTGCAGTTTGTAGATGAAAAGGTACAGTGGCTGCACATCGACATGGCTGGCCCTGTCTTGAATGATAAGAAACATGTAGCAACTGGATTTGGGATCTCAACTCTGGTGGAATGGGTTCTGAAAAACTCTCTTAAATGGGAAGCTCGGAGGAGAAGAACCTGTTTGAGGTGGTTGGTTTCTTTAAGATCTGTTTCATGAATAAAACAAAACATGTCTGTGCATGTCTTTTCTTTCTGGTTTGTTTCCATGCAAGTCACTACTACATAAGCTCTTTTTGCCAATAAATTTCTTTTCCTTCCTTGTCATGCTTTTTTAATATGCTTGTGTTCTAACTTGGTTTATACTCAATTTCTTTAATTTTCTTCTTAATCAACGATGACCGTCAAGGTGGAATTTTATTGATTTTGTATCATAAATCCATAATTTTTTTGAAAAGTTTTAATTGCATCACATGTCCTCAATTACGACTCATTTTAAATCAGTCCTCAATTTTTTTTAATATCTCAATTTCATCTTCAAACTATGGCTCATTCTAATTAGTCCTCAAACTTTTGAATGTTCGATTTCATCTCCAAACTATGTTTTTTATTCTAAATTGGTCTTTGAATTTTTTAATCTTTCATTTTCATCCCAAATTTCATTCAAGTCATTGTTTAACCTAAATTTTATTTTATTTTTTCAAACATATAATAATATAATTATGTCTAACAACGTTAATAATAATATGATTATGTCTAGCAATTTTATTAACAATGATATGACATATACCTATAGTTTAGTATGAAATTAAAATGCTCAAAAGTTTAGGAACCAATTTAAAATAAATGTCATAGTTTAGAGATAAAATTGAATATTTAAAAGTTAAAATAATTGATTTAGAATAAAAAGTATAATTTGCGAGTGGAGTTAAAATATTTAAAATTTTAGAGATTAATTTAAATATGGGTTTACAAACGATAGAATTAAGGGTAAATTATACGTTTAGTACCTAAACTATCAGTTTTGATCTGTTTTACTAAACTTTTAATTTTTTTCAAAACCATACTTAAAGTTTAGTTTTTGTTTCATTCTAGTACATTCGTTCAAAATTTAACATTAAGTTTTGAAAATTTTTATTTCGGAAGTTTAGGTACTAAAACTGATATTTTAGGTCTTAAACACGTTAAGTTATTAATGGCGAGATACTAAAATGAAATAAAAACTAAATGCTAAGTATGATTTTGAAAAAAATGAAAGTTTAAATACTAAAACATATCATAATTGATAGATTAGATACTAAATGCGTAGATTACCCTAGAATTAACTCTATTCAAAATGATATAAGAAAAAATGATAGAAGTAAAAAGGAATATTTCTTGCCATTTATAATCTCATTTATGGGAAATAAAAATAAAAATCTGCTCTTTGATTAGCAAATACGCTACATATGTAAACTATCTCGATCAAAATCAAGACCGTACGTACATCAGAAAAGGAAGTAGACTTTGGTTCATGGCGCCAATGGAGGGGAAGGGTCCCTTTATAAACATAAGTTTCTCTTTCCATCTCCTTCATAACAAACTACCCTTCCTTTCGCTTCATTCCTTTCTTCACAAACGAGGAAATTCAACTCCATAACACCAGCAACAATTCAAAAACAGTGTCTTTTTCTTATTTAGTTTCCATTTTCAATAGTGAAAAAGTGGGAATTCAGGCTATCGAATCGAGATCCAGAGAAGAAGAAAAAAGAACAAAACATGGGGGGTCGTGGTTTTCACGTCGCATGGATCTTCTCCTTGTTTTCTCTCTTCTTCCTTCCATCTCATTGCTTCTACCTCCCTGGTGTTGCCCCTGAAGATTTCCAAACGGTCAGTTTCTTCACATGCACGCATGCATGTATGACATGTTAATTCATGCACCCTCGTCATCATCATCGATATTATGTATTATGGATCTTTGGGTCGACTGGAATTTGCCATTCTGTTATTAAGTTTTATTCAGATCTGCATTTTATGATCCTAAAATTATTCAATTTTCTCCATTAATGCAGGGGGATCCTTTGAACGTCAAAGTGAATAAGCTGACTTCAACTAAAACACAGCTTCCTTATTCCTACTATTCATTACCCTATTGTCAGCCTGATCACATAGTCGACAGTACAGAGAATCTTGGGGAAGTTCTTCGTGGTGATCGAATCGAAAACTCCCCTTACACGGTGTCTCAATCATGATTTCTTTTATGTATTTCTTTTTCACTTTGTCTTGGTTTTCCACTGAATACTGATTGAAATGATCATTTGATCTGCAGTTTAAAATGAGAGAATCACGTGTGTGCAATGTTGTGTGTCGTATGGTTCTTGATAAGAAATCTGCAAAGGCTTTCAAGGAGATGATCGATGATGAGTATCGAGTAAACATGTGAGTCTCTCATCCATGGAGTTCTTAATTATAAGTATTCCATTTCAGGCATTTCTTATTTGAGTAACAATGGATGTTTCTGTGATTTGTTTCTGATAAGGATTTTGGATAATCTTCCATTGGTTGTTCCGATACGAAGGCCTGATGTCGGAACCGCTGTAGTTTATCAGCACGGGTTTCATGTTGGCCTCAAAGGGAAGTATGCTGGGGTAAAAATGATGCTAGATTGATCAAATTCTTTTTAGAATAATTTTTTAATATTTTTTCCATTAATGATGTGATGCAAACAATGATCTGGTCTGTTGTTGATAATTGCAGAGCAAGGAAGAGAAACATTTCATCAACAATCATTTAGCATTTACAGTCAAATTCCACAAGGATCCATTGGTCGATTCAGCTCGGATTGTTGGATTTGAGGTCAAGCCATTCAGGTTACTACTTTTTTTCCCTTTGTTCATTAACAATCATTTGACATGTTTCTTTAATCAATGGTGTTTATTTTCTAATTCTTAGCGAATTGTGTTGATAAATGCAGCGTTAAACATGAATACGAGGGCGAATGGAATGCGAAGACTCGTCTAATAACGTGTGATCCTCATGCAAAACGTGCAGTAACTAGCTCTGAATCTCCTCAAGAGGTTGAAGAAAAGGAGATCATATTCACATATGATGTTGAGTTCCAGGTCAGGTCATGTACCTCTATGTAAATTGAGAATGCATGTGTATGTTACTCGAACAATGATCGGTGTGTTCGATCTTTCGAAGTTCCTTTCAGTATTTTGAGGGTCCTTGCTCGAACATATTCCCGTTCGAGCAACATCGATGCTTGCTGCTTGTTACGGTTCGGCTAGGTCTATCTGATGTATTTTGCTCCTAGTTGTAATCTTGCAGGAAAGTGATGTAAAGTGGGCATCTCGATGGGATACCTATCTTCTGGTAGCTGATGATCAGATCCATTGGTTTTCAATTGTTAATTCTCTAATGATTGTTCTTTTCCTCTCTGCGATGGTGGCGATGATCATGTTGAGAACTCTTTATCGGGATATCTCCAAGTACAATCAACTTGAAACACAGGAAGAAGCTCAAGAGGAGACAGGGTGGAAGCTTGTCCATGGGGACGTTTTTCGGCCCCCGACAAACTTCAATTTACTCTGTGTTTATGCTGCAACAGGGGTTCAGTTTTTCGGTATGATTCTTGTCACCATGATCTTCGCTCTCCTCGGTTTCCTATCACCTTCAAACCGAGGCGGACTAATGACTGCCATGCTTCTACTATGGGTCTTCATGGGCCTCTTCGCCGGCTACTCGTCTGCTCGTATATATAAGATGTTCAAAGGAACAAACTGGAAGAGAATTGCACTCAAAACTGCTCTTAAATTCCCCGGAACCGTGTTTGCGATTTTCTTCGTATTGAATGCACTGATTTGGGGTCAGAAATCCTCTGGCGCTGTGCCGTTCGGAACCATGTTTGCTCTCGTGGTCTTATGGTTCGGCATTTCCGTCCCGCTGGTATTCTTGGGGAGCTACGTCGGTTGCAAGAAGGCTGTAAAAGAAGACCCTGTCAAAACTAATAAGATACCGAGGCAAATACCGGAACAGCCATGGTACCTACACCTGGTGTTTTCGGTCCTGATCGGGGGCATACTACCCTTCGGAGCTGTGTTCATTGAGCTCTTCTTCATCCTAACCTCAATATGGTTGCATCAATTCTATTACATATTTGGATTCCTCTTCATTGTGTTCCTCATTCTGATTGTCACTTGTGCCGAGATCACAGTTGTTCTATGCTACTTCCAGCTATGTAGTGAGGATTACCAATGGTGGTGGAGATCTTACTTGACGTCGGGTTCTTCCGCACTTTACCTATTCTTCTATGCTACCTTCTACTTCTTCACCAAACTCGAGATCACAAAACCGGTATCCGGAATTCTCTACTTCGGTTACATGTTGATCGTATCGTATGCGTTCTTCGTCCTCACAGGTACGATCGGTTTCTATGCTTGCTTCTGGTTCACCAGGCTCATCTACTCGTCGGTGAAGATCGATTGAATCCATTTTCACTCAAATTTCGAATCGATTTCATAGAGAGGATGACTCTGACTCAAAACCAATCCCGAAACGCAGGAGGTCTTTTGCTTGTGGGCTTGACCTATAAGGGTTTTGAATATTTCTTCATCGTGCAAATGGTTGGATTTTATTAGCTTTGGAATTGGTTCCGTTAGTTGTTAAATTAAGGAATCCTGCAATTCTGTCAAATAAAGATATTTCATATAGTCTCTCACTCTTCGGATAAATGTTAAATGGTCCAAGAATTAAAGGAGTCGCTAACTTTATGGTCCAAAAAAATTGAATATATGAACTTGATACCACATAAATTAGAATTTGTAATTAAAGTTATTTCACAGTTTCAAGCTGATTCAACGAGCATAAAAATAATGAAGCAGCGAGCAACCACTTCAGTCTTAATATTTCTTCAAGCAAAGCCTTTGTTACAACTGCGGTTCCATATCTTTGTATTTATACATTGTTCTCTAAGTGAAAGAAGCAAAAGTACAATAAAATAAAATCACATCATTCTCTTACATATCAATCAGCGTCTTCTGCAGTGAAATCAGGCTCAGGAGGCTTTTGTAGTTTCACCAACTCCTTTGCACTCTTAGCAATCCGATTCCGGTGAATGCCACGAAGTGCATTTGCAGCAAACTTGGAAGCTAAGAAAGTGGCTCGGATGCTGTACGAGCTTCCACCACTGTTGTTGCGGGTTCCATTTGATCCTTCTGCTTCCTCTTCTTCCTTCCGACGAAGCTCCTCCAGACTCTTCCTCTTTGAATAACGCCGCCATGCCGCTTGGATAAAGCAAGCTGCCCATGTCCTCCACTGCTGTGAATGAAAACGGAACGTATGTTGTACCTGTCTACTGTGAAGACGCCTGAATTGACCGGCAACAAATTTTAACTCATCAGCTGTAAGGGCAAAAGCTTCGACCTCAGTCAAAGCCTTCGCTGTCCGAGTAGATGTTGGAAGGTTGGCGCCGGTTTTGGGATCCAATGCCCAAGTTAGAAGTTCCTCTCCACAGAAATCTCCCTCTTTAAGCAAACTGTGGTTGAAAAATCCGCTCCTTCCACCATCTGTTGTTATACTCTCAAGGCGGCCACGAATAATGAAAAGCATCTCATCAACAGGATCCCCCTCTCGGACTATGTAAGTGTTCTCAGTAAACAGGCATGGTTTAAGCCGTTCACAAATGGCATCAAGCAATCTCTCATCCATGCTCTCAAACAGAGGAACCTACAGAAATACGAAATCAGAGGGAAAAAAAACGAAGTGGAAGGCAAAGATCAGGACTATATGGAAAAACGAAACTGAATCAGGATCATTAAATTATAGCAAAATGAACTTCCAGAGACGTACTAGATAATCCACTAAACAAAGATAACACGCTTGAGATAATGCAAACATGAGATTTATGTCATGGAAAAAAGACGTATTCCATATGCCTTAAAACAAGGATGTAGAAAGACAAATGGAAGGTAAAAGAAGAAAAACAAATAAAGGTAAGATACAAAAAGGAGTAAAGGAACTAACCCTTCTAACCAAAGCCAAACAGAGGTGCCTCTTAATATCTCTCCTCAGATCCTTTGGAAGGCTTTGAACCAAGCTCTCTTCATCAACACCGCGTGTTTCCAACCACTTGTACTGGTCATAACGCCTCACTCGTTCCCTCAGGTCCTGCGGAAGCATACGATGATGCATCCACTGCTCTGAATCACGCCTTTTAATCCTCATTTCTTCTAGCCGAATAGTGAGTGACTGAAGATAGGTCTGTTTACAACATTGAAAAACAACCAGAATGCCACAATACTGTCAGATTAATTGTGCTTCAACAGTCTCAACTAACTAATTAGTACAATAAGGTATGAGCTAAAGTCCAAAAATTCACCTGCATGTTTCCAATCAGAAGTGCAAAGAGGATGAGTCCGAAAATGGCAAGAGCTATGGAGAATATAACCTCACCAGGATAGGTGCTAGTTTGTAGTCCCTGGCCAAGGGTGCTGCAAATAGATTGAAGGAAATACAGAAGAATCTTAGAAACCAGCAATGGCAAAATTGATGGTTTAAGTTTATGTCGAAAGACATCAGGAAATCATTTATATATTTTATTCATTTGGCATGATATATAAGCTGAAATTTTAATGGACAGTTAAAACAAAAACAATAGTCAAACAACACATTTCCTATTTTCTCGAATTCATGTCACTTAGAAAATTGAGTATTAGCACAATAATATATTTTATGCATGAAATACTGTGAGATGTCTAACCATCAGTATTGCAGAGTACAGAGATGGAGTTTCAGCAAAATAATAAAGATGAGTTAAGTTTTGCTCATGAACACAAGTTAAACACAAGCATAGAGAATGTTAATAACATATAACCAACTAGTTAGATAAAAGGGAAGTCATAACAGTAGGCTTGCTGGGAAAATAACCAAATATCAAGTTAAAAGGTATAAGAGCATTAGGGTGACAGGCATTTTATTTCTTTCCTTTAATTAGCCAAAAGTGTGGTGACGATAGGAACATATCATTTAAAATAGAGTACCGAAGATGGCAAGAATATAAGAGAAATTTTCTCAATTGGCAAGAATTCATGATCCATAGGTAAGTGGGTAGATGTAGCTTAGAGTTCTCAGTGTTCAATCAGTAGCCTTGTGTAATAGGTGCTGCATTTAATATCCGAGTCCCCATTAGTAGATCAAAGATAACAGAAAGCAGAAAACAACCTAGAGTGCATAAATTTCTTATGCATTGCCAAGGAGACGAAAAAACGTTCCACAATGGCTTCTTGCAAATTCCCTTTCATGAAAATACTTCTGGAAAGATTATTCAATGCAAAACTATGAAATTAACTGTCACCAATAATCATGATAACTAGATAATTATCAATGTCTCATATGAATGCAATTATCTGTTATAGTATATTCCCATTTACAGTCGACAATATAATATGACCAAATTCACTAATATGTTTCTTTTATCGTTTCATATAAATCAATTAGCAGTTAGAAGTAACATGTTTTCCCACCTCAAATTCTGTAGACCCCACCATAAACAGTAGCAGTATTTGGAAAAGAACTTTGTTGATGAAACAACACCAGATGACAAAGCCTGTGTGAAGATTCCAAAATCAAATGGAGGATTATTATCATCCTCATCAGCTGGGCACCTTTCTTCAAGAACGGAGTCTCTGATATCAGTCCATTTGTTATATCCTTCCCCATGTTGATGCCCACAGTATAGGAAAGTTTTAGTGCAATTACCAATACCAACATCCTTGCAGGCATTCTGCCAACAAGTATCATTTCGTTCAACAGCCACCCAGTACCAGAATGCCCCTACTATCTGAATCATTCATCAAAGAAAGAAAGAAAGAAAGCACCGATCAAAACATAATTATGCAAGTAATCATATTTTTTAACAGAACAGGTGAGTGTGAAAATTGTGCCCCATAAATCAAAAGATAGCATAAAACAAACGAGGTGGAGAAGAAATGGCGACAGGTTTCAATAGTGAAATAAAGATGTGTATTTAATAAGCACTTACATGACTACAAAGCATATATAATAGCAAATAATATGCAGCTCCAGCCCAAGCAGTTTCAGCAAAGACACCTGCTGTCCTTTTCATTTCTGATGTTAAGGGTATAATTCTGAGAAATCGAGGGACATACTGAAACAAGACAATAAAAAACAAGGCCTGTTCTGTTGCTAGTACATCTGAACCATTTGGATTGTGAAGAAATCTCCAAACAACAATCTGCATATATGAACAAAACAATGAGAAAACTGTAGGTTCTTTTGATCAGACAAATCTAGGATGACATGCAACAGTGACGGTTCATTAACATTATTTCCAGGTAGAGGTAACTGCTACTCCCAAATATGATGATGCACATTTAATCTTAACATTAACATTTGTAGCCAACACATTAAGCAGTTAAAGGAAAACAATATTTTGCCAGACTTTCACTAGGAGAATCATATGGATGTTATATTCATTCTGTATAAGGAATCATAAGAATATTTAAATTTGCCTTGCCCAGCATGCATTCAAAGCTTTACCAATGTGAATTAACAGTACCCATAGATCCACCAACAATGATAGGCAGATGGAAAAATAAGAAGTGAAAGAAATACTATATCATAGTGCATATAAGCAACATAAATTGCCAATTGCTCCCATGTTTCACACTCAAAATAAAAGAATGCATGCAGAAATGAGTGTGTCAATGCAAAAGAAAACAGAAGCATGCATACAAAGAAAGGTTATACACATAAAGCACATAATAATGAGGCAAACCAAGAAGAAAGAAAGAACAATACTACACAATTAGACGGAATTGCTCCCACATAAACCATAAATAGATATGAATGCAGCACACCAAACATGGATGCATGAAAAGGGAGAAATCAGTAAAGAAATATATAATGCAAGAAACAGAGAGTTAGATGCATTAGAACCAATGATAATGTGGCACATTCAGTCATTGAATGCCCAAGGGAACAGATTTAAGACCTGTGGTAATGGAAGTACAGCAAGAAAATCAATGACGAAATACTGCTGCAAGTATCGCTTGGCTATTTTTGCAGGATCAATCACAAGTTCACCTCGTCCAAAAACTCGAGATGATGGCGCAATGTAAGCCGTACGGAACTGAAGAGCCATGCGTATAAGATAAAAGACATCAATAATCGTTCGCAAAGTCGTTGCCGTAACTGCTAATTTTTTATCAATAGTGAGACACTTTTCAGGATCATTAATAACTGGAAGATAAAAAAAGAGAGGGTCTACTGATACTGCCAGAATACATGATATGAAAAATAATTTATTGCATAGCAAGAGGAATTTATCCTGAGGATCAAATATTTTCTTCTCTGAAACTTTAAGATCCTCAGGAAATACTGCTCGAGAAACCCCAAATCCAAGTGAGCGACCAATTGACTTAAGTCCTTCAGACCCCTTTTTGATCCCTCTCTTGAAAGATCGAGATGTTGTCTTGTTTGAATGGCTAGAACGGCCTAATCCCTCAATGTTAAACCCACAATTTTTCAATCCTGCAGCAGAGGGTGATGATAATCTAGAGTCCAAGTCATCCAACCTGGAGAAAATACAAAAAAACACCTATAAGATAGAGGGGGGGGGGGGAGAATATTTAGAATAATGTTTTCAGTACCTGACAAACTTCTCCCTTTGTCCACTCATATATTGGGCTTTATAACCAGAATCAAACATTTTTTACAATGGACTGCATAAATATATCCTGCAATCCAACAAAAATATTTCAATCAAGTGCAAAAAAATTAGCAAAGTTTCTAGTGCCATCATTCATGATGCAGCAGTTAAGCAGCTACATCCATCAAAAACATTTCATAAAACATGCTCCTGAAGATCTTAATTTATGCAGTTTAATCAAATTAAACATGCACCTGGAGATCCTAAATTGGTGCAGTTTTCATCAAATAGAACATCAGTCGATGTTTTAATGTCATGCACTTGTAGGACTGAACTAATCCATATTTCTCAAATCAAATTTAAACTGATACACCCCTTCTACAATTACCAAAAGCCAAATTTCATCTCTATATCTACTGACAAAGTAACAACCGCAAATTCAACAAAAATCTCCACGTTTTCTAATCTTTACCATCTTTATCAAGTTAAGTGGCTAGAACTTGATTAAGCTAAACCTAATTTCAACTGATGCACACCTCTTCTACTTTTACTAAAAGCCGCAATAATCTCAATAAAAAAACTCCACCTTCCCAAATTCTTCTATCTTTAGCTAGTTGAAATGCAAGAAATTGATTAAATTGTCTAGCTATATTACTGGATCCAAACAAAATGTCTGTAAAAATTAGATTTTCCTCATGTACTAACGACATTATCAATCAGTTAAAGAATCATATTTACTACCCTCAATGAACCGCTCAATGGAAAGAAAACTTCACCCAAGTGCAACGAACGACTAATTAGAAGAAGAGTTGACTTCCAGATTCGAAACTCTTAGTTAAAAATTAAATTCATCGAAATCAAACCAAAAAATGAAAATTTTCTGAAGTAAAAAAAATCAGTAAAAAATCGAAGTACGAAGCAAAACAAAGAACGCCAAGAAAATAAAAAATTCGGTATAAAATCATAAACTGATCTAAAATAAAATTAATTGAGAAGGGGAAGAAAATACTTACAGGGGAATCCTTGAAATGTAATTCAAAAAAGAATTAAAAACTTGAAAAATACATTTACAATTACGCACGACTGAAGCAGAAGAAGGAAGAAAAGCATAAGGAGAAGAAAGGGGAAGAAAAATGAAAGACGACATGACAATGAGAATGTAAGTTACCAAAAAGAGCCCAAAGGGGAAAGGGAGACAAATTTTGGAAATGACCAAATTGGACCCCTAGTTTTGTTTATTTTATCATATCATATCATATGGCTGTCGAGTTTGACGTCCTCAACCCGAACCAGTTCGTTTATTTTATTTTGGGTAAACTACATCAATGGTCACTAATATTTTAGTAAAATTTCATTTTATCTCCTTAAATTTCAAAAATAACAAATGAGTCACTGACATTATTGATTTATAACAAATCGATGATTTGCCATTATTAACCGTTAATCCAATAACAGAGAACTGACGTGGCACATTAAATTGGCTTATTTGGCATTATTCGGCCACCTAAGCAGATTTTTTGACTCAATCTTATCTCTTCTACAACTTCCTTTTCCCTCTCTTCTCATTCATTTCTTTTATTAACGTTGCATAGACAACAACGCGAATTTTAAGTCAATGGAAGGGTATTGAAATTTTAGGTATAAATTATCATTGAATCTGAAAGAAAAAGGAAAAAGGAGAGAATAGGAGAAAACGGGAGGACGATGAACAACTTCAAGGGCAAGGGCAAGGGAGTTGTAGAGCTAACCACAATTTCAATGGATCTCTCTTTTCCCTCAGTCCTTGCGACGCTTTCTCCGAATACGACTTGGTCAATGTGAAAGTCTGGTTGGGTGATAATGCATATCACTATTATGTTTTACCCGCTTACCAGACTGTCCGAATTAGGTAGCTATTAAAATTGCACTCGAGCTCAAGAAGTTGCTTATAGACAACAGCCTTTTGGATGTCTCACCAACCGATTTGGAAGCTAATGGAGCGTCAAGGTGACCGGAAGAGTATATAAATCCTTGATCTGGTTTCACCGTCAAAAAGGGTTCCTTTGGTGATTATTTCTTAAATATAAAATTTTATATTAGATATAAATTCGAACCGTATCTTTATTTTTAAAATAAAATAATATTTTATTTATTTTCCACAAATCTTGCATCCATAAAACCCGAACGTTCCTTCCCTCTAAAAAATTTCATATCTTTCTTCCTTTTTTACCTTCCAAAATCAAACTTTGATAACTCTTTAAACCCTCTGTTTTTCTCCATTTTCAAAGCTCTTCATTTACTTCAATTTTGTCAATTGGTTTGGGAAAATTTAGACATGAAGCAACAACATTCAAGTTCAAGATCAATGCATGCTCAGACGTCAGGATTCTCCCGATGTGTGTTGATAGGGAAGCGGTGGCGGGTTAATGAACGTTGCTCTTGTTGAAGAATCAAACCTAAAAAAGATCTAGACTCGATGAAGAACAATAAGGGATGAATCGGGAAGGTGGCGGTAATATATAGGGTTCTTTAGGGTTTCTTTTTGGTGTTGGAAACAAGATAAAAATAAGATTAAAACAAGATAAAGAAAAGATAAATGAATTGCAAATAAAATAAGATAACCAAGAAATCAAAAGATCTCCCTTATGAAGGTGAACGATAAAGATGATTGATGACGTGGATGGATATGTGGAAAATCGATGGATAATGTCCTATCGAGCCCTCCTAGTCGCAATGAAAAGGCAAACACGATAATATGGCTCTAACCAACCCTCCTAGTCGCGATGAAAAGGCAAATTGGAGTGTGAAGATTAATCTATCTCACAAGAACTTAAAAGAACTCAAGGAGAAGAAGCTTCGAAGGCACAAGGCAATCAACACTTGCAAAAAACGAACTCTCGTTGTATTATTAATCAAAGAAATCTTAATTACAAAGTTGAATGAAGCCTCCTTTATATAGGGGCTGAATTCTAAAGGTCATAAATAACTAAAGAATAAAATAATAATAAACTAAACATGTTTTAACTCTAATTCCTAATAAAATAATAATAACTAAAAATATTGTTTTAACCCAACCTTAATTCATAATAAAATAATAAATCTGATACTAAAAGATAATTAATCATCCTATATTAAATTATATTACAAATAATCAATATAAATATTGAAAATTCGTAATATTTACAAAATAACGTATTAATCCCGTATAGGATTTCCTGCATGCACCATCTTCAGTAAAATGGTCATATCTTGAGTTCCAGATATCGGATTGATGCGATTCAAGAACCGTTGAAAAGATAAGAGACAGACGGTTGTATGTCCAGAAGACATATTGACCAAATAAGATCAGGATCCCATTCAAAAAGTCGTCTCAAGTCTGCTATTGTTCTAGTCTTCTTTTCCAATGCTTGGACGAGTGAATCATTTGGAAGAGTTATTACTTCTTCCTTTGATGTGAGCCTTGTGATGCATGTATCATCCTCCCTTTCTTCAAAAAGATTCGACCTCGAATCTGAAACATTAAAGGGAGCAACATTAGAATCGTTTAATGATTCATTCACATTATTCTTACCGAATAGATATGCTTTGAATCTTTGAGACTTTGTTCTTCTAATAGGTTCGAGTAGAAACATTAGTCCAAAGAAGCATGTATTCTGGACTCTGGTGCATGTATCATTCCCCCAATCCTCAAAAGGATTCGTCCTCGAATCTGAAAATCCAAAAGAAAGAGAATTAGATGTGTTGAACGGAAAACTTGTGAAACATTTACCAGGATCAATGTGATACGTCTTTATGCGTTTTAGTCGAGGTTTCTTCTTTATAGGAACTGATTTCTTGTAATCTTGAAATCCTCTTTTGCATACAAGTCTTGTAATATGATGTTTTGGTTGAAATTCAACATGGCGTCGACCTCTGTTGGCTTTCTGTATGATTGCTTCAGATAATTTCTCCATGGTTTTATTCTTGTGTGGCGAGAATGAGTGTTTAAAAACCATGTCAACTGGTTTGTTAAAGTAATCCCTTAAGTTTCCTAAGTGTGGTTCATGAATTAAGAATTCTCGGGAGGAGATTTGTGGACTGTAAAACCTGTTTAGTTGGCAAGGAAACTCATATACAAGATAAAGCTCATTAGAAGCACTTTTAAAAGTATGAGTAGAATTATCAGAAATATCCGAGTTATTGTGATATACATCTTTGATATGTTCAATTCTCGGAATAGTAGTATGCGTTTGATAGGTAAGAGTATACCTTCGTGGTAGTGCATCGTCTATTGTGTTTTGCTTGCCTCGGTCTTTGGACTCCCGTAAATCGTGACTCTTAATTGATATGGCATATTGATTAGGGCTTTCAGGTGGTAACCCGTCAGGAGGGTCACCTAGCACTATTCGATAACTCTTAGCGATGGAAGATGGTGTGGTCCAGTCTCGTGTTGCTTTTACTTTCTCATCATTTACATGGATTCTCTGTGCATGAACTATAAAGCATGTGGAGTTGTTCAAGTCATGTTTCGTCATTAAGATGGCGTCACGACTAAGGCTTTCCTGGATGTAGCCTTTTTGTAACAAATCTAACTCTTTGGTTTCTTCGAGATTGTATGTTTGACGAGGTATGATGCAACCTTGAATTAGATTGGTTTGGTGTTGTTTTCCTCTTTTCGGTGGTAATTCGTTAGGTGGATCACCTAACACTTCTCGAAAATCCTGTAACAAAGATGAAAACACAGTAGGCAAGTCCTTGTTAATGTTAGAAATCGAAACAATTGATTCCCTAAAGTGAACAAGGATGGAAGGTTGTTTGTAAAGAAGGTTCTCTCTAAATTCTTTTGTGCTCACACATAGATTTTGAGTCACTCTTTTCTTCTCACAATTAGGTTCACTCACCTCCCATGGGTCATTATTCTTTTGGTTTTTGAAACTAGTGACCTCTTTTTCTTTTGCCTATTTCTCAACTTTTTCTTTTTTTACTTTCTCTACCTCCTCACAAATTATCATTTGATCTTTAGGGGTTGGAAGTGTGTCATTCTTTGCTGGTCGTTCTTTCTCCTTGTCAGGTTTGTCATCTCTTGGCTTTTTCAGAGAAGATGGAGTAGAAGATGAGGAAGGATTTGAAGGATTACCTTGGTAAGAGGATGAAATACCTTGGTAATATTCTCTTAATCGGAATCTCCTTTGTATTTGTGTTTCGATTGTCATTGCTTTCTTTAGTGTATCTTCGAGGTTTTCGTACTCATGGAGATCAAGAAGATCATTGATGTTTGAGTTTAAGCCGACGACGAATCTTGACACGGTTACCTCTTCTTTTTCGGTTATGTTAGCCCTATTGAGTAAGGACTGCATCTCCTTGTAGTAGTCTTCAACTGAACTTCTACCTTGTCGAAGTTGGTGTAGTCGTAGTTTAACTTCTCGTGTATAATGTGTCAGTAGGAATTGCTTCCTCATGGTTTGTTTGAGGTCGGTCCAAGAAGTGATTGTTGGAATTTAGAAGTTCTGGATCTTTTTCCTTGTTTGCATCCACCAAGTTCGAGCATATCCTTCGAATTGCATGGTGATGAGGTGAACTTGTTTAGCTTGGGGGCAATCATGGTATGCGAACATGAGATCAAATTTTCCTTCCCAATCGATGTACCTGTCTGGATTGTTGTCTCCTTTGAAAGACGGGATCATGAACTTTGGTTTTGCAAAGAGTTCGGGTGCTTGTAAACGTGGTTGTTCTCGCCTGGTTACCAAAAGTTCAACATTGTTTGGTATTGGATTTTGGTTTGGTAGATCCAGTTGTGGTTCTTATCGTTTTCTCACAGTTTCATCAAATCTTTCAACTTGAGTCATGAGTAGGGAAAGTGTGGCTAAGATAGCCGTAAGTGTCTTGTTGTTATTGTCGCCCATCCTGAAATCATAACACTCAAAAGAAAATTTTAAAGTAAAATAAAAATAAAAGAAAGAAAATTCAACAAAACAAGAAACCTCACAAGTCACTCCAAAAAAAGTAACACAACGAGAGGCAAGTAAGCCGATCTTGTACTCTTTAAAACTCACTTTACCAAGTAGTCTTCCACAGTTCGTATCGGAGTTTGATTACTAGCAAAGGCGATAAGAAAAACCTAAAAGTTCTAAGAGG